CAGTTCCTTTGAATCTGAACATCTTGTTTGACCTATTGGTGGCGCTGTGACTTCAGATGTTTTGGCTTTTGCAAGAGACTACTTCTGCAGGTAAATTAAAGGCATTAGATAATGTGTTGGCACCCTGTGGTAGCATCTAGTAAGAATCATTCACTGAACAGTACATGCAGGTATAATTGCATTCAGGTTTTATTCATAATATATGTGTGTGTCCACTGTGTGCATCTACAGTGCTAAAGCATGTGTCCATACTGCATATATTAGTATCTGGCTCTAATATCACCAAATATACAATAAGGTTAGAGCCACATGATCTGAATCAGACATATAACAGATGATGTTGTAGTACAATGTCTTACACTAAATATAAGTACACAGAAAGTAAGTATACAGTTGAATTGCAAAGCATTCAGCATGTTCCTAGAAAGGCCTTTATTAAAAAGGCACTGCGCTATTTACACAAAAGCAGCAAATACACTCAATTGCTGAAACAAGGATTTTGCTTTTCTTGTTTTTAACCGCTCCATTGGTTCTGTCCATGAGGATGTCTTTATTGATCTGGAAGAAAACCAAAATGAGTTATTATTATTGGGTACTTTCTGCACATGGTACTGCTTTTGAATACAACAATGTATGGTAAAGCCAACTAATTTGTGTGTGAAAATATGTACATTTGCCATTTATTAGTTATGATGTTTTAAGTAATGTTTCAGTAAACCAAAACATGTCTGGAAAACAACAAGCTGTATAACAATGCACAAAAATTGTAAAAGCTTTATTTGGTGGATTTGATCATTGCTGAAACTGGCAAGCAGCACAGCACATTATAAAAGCTTTTAGTATATTCGTATGTATATGTTTTAAAGTGTTTTGTACTTGACTTTACCTGCAGCCACGTTTATGTAAAGGCTCTCTTCTGGTTCATTACTGGCACCTGTTAGAAGGATTAAAATAATGTATCAAAGGACATTCCTGTTCTTTATTTAGACACTGCTGGCCTACAAAAGCACCTCAAACATTGCTTGTAGTATTTGTATTACTCCATGTTAAACACAAATTAAATACTTTACCATTTCCAGCTTCTAAAGGCCCTCCGATTGTTTCATAGAGACAACGATCACCTACAGAGAAGTGTAAATCAAGCCATGGTTACACCAATCATTTTAATCACAATTAAGGCCAAGAGTTAAAAAATAAATCGTATTATTAAACCGGACAAGGGCTGACCATGGAGGAGAGTAGAATATTCTGGCATGTTTTGAATTTCATCCTGGTTGATCATGTGGTCTGTAGCACGGCCCTGATTGGTGCTCTGAGATCTTGTGGGACATCCACATGAAGATAATGAAGTGGATTGAATTTAACATATAACTGCTGTAATGTTCAAAATGAGATAAAAGAGGGTTGTACCGACCTGATGAAGACTGCATCTGTTAAATAAAAGAACAACTTAGTTACATTGTTTTTGAATTGCAAATGTGTGATTTTGAGTAATTATAGTTTAATTAATTTGATATCAGATGAAAAGGTTCTGACCTTTTGATTTTCTGTAGCGATGCAGGAACAGCAGAGGGAGAATTATCCGTAAAACTCCACAAAGCAGCCCAACAGTCAACAGGACGGGAAATTGAGAGGCTTTTCCAGGCCGAGAAGCTGCTAATATAAATAATCTTAATTAATATTTTTTTATATAACACTTTCCTCAAAGCACTTTACAGGAACAGAGCTTCAAGGTCGGACCAAGCCTCAGAAATATCTAAGATTAATAAACAATGACAATTAAAAAATGTATTAAAAACCTACATTCACACATTGACACATACATGTACAACTATGGAATATATAAAACTATACAAATACACTTACACATAAATCATAAATATTTACACACTTATTGGAACAAATTCACAAAATACACTATAAACCCCTGTTCATATATCTTATATTTTCAATGCTGCTCATGTAATCATGGTCATATGAATGTTTTAAGACTGAATACAGAACTGGAAAAATATATTTCTCTTACAAAAACTAAATTGTATAATTCAGAGGAAAATAAGACAACTTTGAATTCAGTATTAACTGTCTTTTTTAGCTCTGACTCAGCAACACATCTCAAAAAGAGGAAACTGTTTTTTGTCATACTCACATTTTACTGAGAACCAACTCTCTGGTGACGTCCTACCATCTGCTGAATCTCTCTGTTTACATTTATAAAAGCCTTCATCTGACTTTGACACTGCAGAGATGGTCAGCTCGCTTCTGGTATCATTCTGGATGAGTTTGTCATTTTTATAGAAATCCACATTATAAACGGTTCCTGTCTTTAACTTGCAGCTAAGAGTGACAGCATGTCCCTCAGCCACAGGACGGACAGGACTCACCAGGATCATTTTACCATCATCTGGAAAAGAAAAATCAAAGAATATAAAGGCTTTGTCAGAGACATCAGCTTGTTTACGTTTATGCATAACTGGTCTAATCTGGCAGAAGCGGAAATCAGGTAGATGAGGAAAATAAAACACAGAATATTATCTTTGAGAGGAGTGACCCCGGAGTACACTTCTTAAATTAGACTTTTTTATAAAGTTTTACTAATTTGACGAGACGTTTGGCTAATGCTTGTCACCTTCACATTTCAGAACAATATAATAATTCAGAAACAAACATTTTAAATAAATAAAACTCACACTCCATAGTGATGTTGACTGCATTACTGAACTGTCCTGTTTCAGACTCACACCAGTACACTCCGCTAACCCAGCTGCTGGTTATTGTGCATGTGGATCCAGTCATTGTCCCCCAGGAAGAACAGGGATAAAGGTAGGCAGGTTGCCAAAAGCTCCTCACTCTCCACTCAGTGGAGTTTCCCTCACAGCTCAGTGACACAGACGTTTCGGTGAAGTGCTGCACACTGAGATGCTGCTGAATTCAAATCTGAAACACACAAAGAGGGGACATTTAAAACATGCAAACTGTAAAAGACAATGCATGGGTACAGCAAAACCTCCACTTAATTTACCCTGAAAAAACAAACGGGAACAAACTAAAGTAGGAGGAAAACTAAACTGAAGGAACCAGTGCCCTTAATATCACACAACTACATTTTTTAATCATATGTATTATTACATTAAACACAAGGGACACTGGCAGGCTGAACAAGCTTGTGAGGAAGGCTAGCTCTGTAGTTGGAGGACAATTGGACAATCTGGAAGAGGTGGCAGAGGGGAGGACGAGGAGGAAGCTAGACAGTATCCTAGAGAACCCCTCCCACCCACTCCATGCAGAGCTAGTGAAGATGAGGAGTACGTTCAGCCACAGACTCATCCCTCCACGACACAGCACCAAGCGCCTCGGACAGTCCTTTGTGCCTGTAGCTATCAGGCTGCACAACAAGGGGTCAATAATGTGAAACTATTACTAGACATAAATACACGCTGTTTCCACAACCCATGTTAATATATCTAATATGTAATATATGACTCTATATGTATATATGTCCATTTTCATTTTCATTCATTTCTTACCTATAGTTTATATGACCAAATATGTATATATGCTTGTTTTAATATATATATTTTATTCATTTCTTATTTCATAGTTTCTCATTATTATTATTTTTAATTTTAATCGCTGATCTTATTTTTGATTGTATTAATCTGTGTGAAGCTGTGCTATCCTGTTTTTCACTCTCACCCTGTTGCTGTTTAAACAACTGAATTTCCCCACGGGGATTAATAAAGGTCCATCTTATCTTATCTTATGTCTGAAACAATATTACCAGCAGATACATATCTTGAAACATATTCCCAACTAAGAAGAATTAAGAAAAAACTTACCAGTTAAGGTATCTAATTATAATGTATTGTAGAAGCCTTATATTATTAGGTTTTGGATTTACAAAGTCTAAGGTTTGAATCATGGCAAACAACAACTCATGTGTCAGGATGAAAAGAGGGTCATGAGATTAACTCGTGTTAAAATTCAGTCCAGAAGCTGAATAAATTCATCATCATTCTGTTTTAGAGAATAGTTTTGAAAACTGAAATATGACCTGGTGTAAAAGAAAAGTTCCCAAAATAATTTATTCCATTTTGCAATAATGGAAAAGTCAAAACAAACATGCCTACAGACCAGACAAACTTTTATAAATGCATCTGGTGGCCTAATGATGGTACAAACTACAGAAAGAAAGAAAAAGGAAGAACATACTGACCTCCAGACCAGACAAACTTAGGTTTGCTGTACGAACTGTAATACACTGGGTCTCCTCTTCCTGCTCTGCACACATATGCTGCTGTGTGTGTTTGTCCATCAATGATGAAGAGATGCTGTTCAGTCCCTTTCTCGCTGCCAGGTAGCAGCTCATAGCTGTAGGAGTAGTCTGACTTTTGGGGAACAGCCTTATACCAGTAGAAGCTCCAGCCAGCAGAAGGATGATCAACCCTGCAGTTCAGAGTTACTGAGGCTCCAGGACTCAGCCATGATGGAGACACAGTGAGGACAGGCTCAGGTTTGTCTGTTGGAAAGTGATTTAATGATAACGTTATGATTTATAATTGGTGGGTTACATGCACTCATTGGATCCTACATATTTCTTGCATACAGTATGTAAAAAACAAATGTAAGTTTGAACTGTCCTTAAATATAACAACCAAAATACTAGTTATCAGTTATTTTGTTTATAAACAGTAAAAAAAAGTCAACTGATGATAAATGACTTACTGTCAGATACTGTCAATGTGAAAACAATCCATTTGTCACAGGTAATAAAGTATAACAAGGTTTGTTGGTGAAGTATTATCTTTATGTAAATGATTTGATATAAGAAGCTGATCCCTGTCTGTCTTTCTGTTCTTATTGTAATACTCTTGATTTTGTGATAACACAAAGCACATGATTGTATACTGCCTATACAGCATCAGTGGAGCTGTTCTCATAAATAAATAAAAAATGCTTTTATTGAACTTGGTCATGGCGGTATTACTTTGATCACTTACCTGATACAGTTAGATAGATTTTATTGCTTCTTTTCTTTGATCCCCTGTACCGAAAAAAACATTGGTATTCACCACTGTAGCCTGAAGCTAGAGAGGGTAATTTAAAGCTCTCATGTTTTTGGTAAGAGAGAAATTCTCGACCATCCCTTTGGATTGAGTAAGACCAGTCTCTGTCTTTGTCTCCTGTGATGTCACACTTGAAAGTAACAGACTCTCCAATAAAAACAGTGGTCCAGTTTGGCTCAATGGTCAGCACAGCATCTAGAAACCATCACAAGAGACATAAAGTAAAATGTGTTTTCTTTTTGTCAAAACATTTATAATACATTGACAAAACGGAACACACAAAAAAGAGGTTGTTTGTAGAGTTACCTACAGTAGGTAGGTTTTACTTTAGTTGGTAAACAAAAATAAAGAAAATTGTATAATTACCTTGAGCTTGTACACGGTAGAGTAAATTCAGCACTGAAATAAGCATGAAACTACATCAGACATTATCAAACTGACAGAAATTAAATATATTATAACCTAAGGCATTTAAAAAGTTGTATCAATGGCAATTAAAACTGGAAAAGTACTCACAGAATAACCCCAGTGCGCAGAGCAAAGTGTGTCCCATCTTCACATCGAACACTGACTCTCTGTCTCTCACACATACGTCCACTTTAACACTTGAAACAAATTGAGGAAGACTAACAGAGCACTGTGGGAGGAAATCTGATCTGATGTCAACATGAGCTCATTGGTATTTTAAAGATTTCCTGAGAATAACTAGTCTCTCTTTCCTTCCTGTTTTACATTGGCATGACTAATTCATGCTCATGCCATGCAGATACATTTTAACTTCACTCTCGACCAATATCCCACTTTAAAAAGGCAGAGTAAAAAGTCATTTTTGCTCAACTCATATCTAAGTAAAAATGAATGGCATTATTATACTTGTGTTTCATAGGCAGATATATTTAACGCCAACAGTTAGATGGTTCATCGAGACAACTGCAGAATAATTTAACCTCTTTTCATTCTTTACCTGAACTTTATTGCAATTGTAATTCTGATCATTTATCAAAAAACACAAGACAAATGTCAGGATTTTTTGGGGTAAAATAGCCATCTTGTAAACCTCTAATATTAGATGTTTCTACTGCTTCATCACTATAGTAATAACAAGGGCCGATGATTCAAAGTGACACATTTTTGGTCACATCTCAGCTCTTGCACCTCTAAATTCCTTCTGTCGCCTCAAAGTATGATCCCCAAAATAAGAGGGAAGATGATGAAACAAATCAAACACCTTGTGTAAAGAAAAATCAAGGAGAAGCACTTAAGCAAATAAAGTTTATTGATGCAAAACAAAGCTTACTTTTTTTTAAACACACCTAGATTAAAGCCATATGATGCATTTCCTTTAAATGATTTGCTATTACATTAACTGCACAAAATACTGTCTGATAAATGGAGAGCAAAGCTGCAAATAAGGTTTAATAAACAAAGGTTTCGTTTTGGTATGTTGTTTCCATTCGTCTTGTCCTTACAGAAGACATTGTTCGATCTGGAAGAAAACCAAAGAAGAAAGAGATGACACTTTTTAAAGAATTAGAGTGTTTCATGACATATTAATCCCATTTACAACATATTTAACAACATACGAAATAAATAAAGTGATTGATCTGAATACTTACATGATGTTACGCTGCATTTTTACCAAGAGCTGTTCCTGGTTTGAGTTCAGAATAAACAGTTTCATCCGCTGGTGCAGGACTTGACTTCCCTATGAATTAAGAGATTATTATTATTTATTTTTTACAGTATTCTCCCAGTTAGCAATGAAAATGTACTGGTATACATTTTCCTCACAAGAGGGTAGAGTGATAGTTTGATAGAAGGAATTGCTCATTATGATTCACAACAGTTAAACATGTATGGATACAGATGAATGAAATGTCACATGCCCTGATGTTTATTTCATGAATGCATAGAATTGGCAGATAATTAAATAAACAAACATTGACAAAGTTATGTGTAGGGTTTCAACATTGCTGACTTTGGCAATACCTTGTGGTAGCTTTTAAAATGACACCCTAGCAGGCAGCATGTAACCCAACAAAAACTTAAAGAGAGTAGTATTTCATCATACCTGCAGCTGATGCCATCTGCACATGTGAGTAAACACAATCCTCCGGTTCATTTTTCTTCCCTGTTAGACGGATCAGGAGAAAGAGTGAAAAGACAAAACTTTACTTAATTTAGGCACTGCTAGCCTACAAAAGCACCTTAATTATTGAATGTTATTACGACATAAAATCAAATACTCACCCTTCTTAGAAATGTGTTTGAGCTCGACCACAGAATATGTGACATCCATGGATTCATCTGAAATATACAATGTATTTTATATTTCAAAGAGTGAACCGTGAATTGTCATATTCCAGTATTTATATTTACTATACTGTACCATTTGCAGGTTCTTCTGGGCCTTTGATTGTTTCATAGAGACAAGCATTATCTGAAGAGTAATCAAAATCAAACCAAACTCATATTAAAATCCCTCTATATGAACTCCTACATATTTTTAAACAACTAATGAGAAATGGAAATGCTACTCGGTTAATAACGTTAACAATAAATTCAAAACGTATTAAGGATTCAGGCTGACCCTGGAGAACAGAAGCATATTCTCTTTGGTTAGTTTCGTCCTGGTTGATCATGTGGTCTGTAGCAGGGCCGTGATTGGTCCTCTGAGATCTGGTGGGCAAAACACATGTAGTAAATGAAGTGGATTTATGAAAGGAACATATTACTGCTGTCATGTTCATAATAAAAGAAAATGGAGTGTTGTACCAACCTGCTATAGCATGAATCTGTTAAAAAAAAGAAGACATTTGCTGCTATTTTATTATGCATTGCGTTCTACTGTTAAAACAGTACATGTGATTACATTACTGTATATTCTATCTTGTATCAGAAGAAAATGATCTCACCTTTTGACTTTCTGTATGAATACAGGAACAGCAGCAGGAGAATAATCAGTAAAACTCCACAAAGCAGCCCAACGATCAGCAGAACGGGAAATTGAGAGTCTTTTCCATGCCCGGACGCTGCTATTATAAGTAATCTTTAATAATATTTATTCATAAAAAAACGTTCCTGTTATAGATTAACTGTATAAAACATTTCTCTAACACAAACACAGTTTAATTCAGATCAAACTAAGCTATCTTTATCTCAGGCTGTAACACAGCTTACAAAAAAGGAAGGGTTTTTAAATCATACTTACATTTTACTGAGAACCAACTCTCTGGTGATGTCCAACCATCTGCTGAATCTCTCTGTTTACATTTATAAAAGCCTTCATCTGACTTTGACACTGCAGAGATGGTCAGCTCCCTTCTGGTATCGTTCTGGATGACTTTGTCATTTTTATAGAAATCCACATAATAAACAGCAGCTTCATTATTTAACTTGCAGCTAAGAGTGACAGGAAGTCCCTCAGCCACAGGACGGACAGGACTCACCAGGATAATATCACCATCTGAAAAAAATAATATAAATGCTTTGTCAGAGACATCAGCTTTTGCAGATTTAATATGTTTAGGCACAACTGGTCTAGTCTGGCAGAAGCTGAAATCAGGTAGATGTACAGTATGAAACAATGAAACATACAGAATATTATCTTTGATCTTTGAGAGGAGTAACCCTGGGGTTCACTTCGCAAATTAGCCTTTTTTTTATAAACTTTTACTCACTTTGAAGAGACGTTTGGCTAATGCTTGTCACCTTCACATTTCAAAACAATATAATATTCAGAAACAAACATTTTAAATAATTAAAACTCACACTCAATAGTGATGTTGACTGCATTACTGAACTGTCCTGTTTCAGACTCACACCAGTACACTCCACTAAACCAGTATCTGGTCATTGTGCATGTGGATCCAGTCATTGTCCCCCAGGAAGAACAGTGATGAAGGAAGCCAGATTCATACAACCTCATCACTCTCCACTCAGTGGAGTTTCCCTCACAGCTCAGTGACACAGACGTTTTGGTGAAGTGCTGCACACTGTCAGGACTCACTGTGAGAGACGCTGCAGAGTTAATATCTGAAAAAAAACACAAAGAGGGGACATTTAAAACATGCAAACTGAAAAAGACAATGCATGGGTACAGCAAAACCTCCACTTAAATTACCCTAAAAAAGGCAAAAAGAGATTAAACAAGCCTAAAAAGTGAGTGTTTAATCCATAAATATATTGCAGTTGTTGAGTAAAAAATATAAATGTTGTCCATTTAAAAGTCCTACTAAAGTAGGAGGAAAACAAAATAGAAAGTACCTGTGCCTCAATTTCTAAATGTGTTAAGTATATGTATTGTTTATGTGTTAAACAAAAAATATTACCAGCAGATAAATATGTTTAAAACATATTTAGAAGCTGAATCAGTCAATCTTCATTTGGTGTAAATGAAAAGTTCCCAAAATAAGTGACTTTATTCCATTTTGCAATTATGGAAAAGTCAAAACAAACATGCCTCCAGACTAGACAAACTTTGATAAAGAAATATTTTGGCCTAAAGGTGGTGCCAACCAAAGAAAGAAAAAAAAAGGTTAGAGCATACTGACCTCCAGACCAGACAAACTTAGGTTTGCTGTACGAACTGTAATACACTGGATATCCTATTCCTGCTCTGCAGTAATATATTGCTGTGTGTGCTTGTCCATCAATGATGAAGAGATCCTGTTCAGTCCCATTCTTGCTGCCAGGTAGCAGCTCATAGCTGTAGGAGTTGCCTGACAGTCTGGGAACAGCCTTATACCAGTAGAAGCTCCAGCCAGCAGAAGGATGATCAACCCTGCAGTTCAGAGTTACTGAGGCTCCAGGACTCGGCCATGATGGAGACACAGTGAGGACAGGCTCAGGTCTTTCTGTTGGAAAGTGATTTAATGATAAAGTTATGATTTATAATTGGTGGTTTCCATGCACTCCTTGGATCCTACATATGTTCTACATACGTATAAAACAAACTTAAGTGTGAACTGTACTTAAATATAATAACCAAAATACTAGTTATTAGTTTTTCTTTTTAAATAAAGCACAAAAAAGTAAACTGATGATACATGACTTACTGTCAGATACTGTCAATGTGAAAACAATCCATTTGTCACAGGTAATAAAGTATAACAAGGTTTATTGGTGAAGTATTATCTTTAAGTAAATGCTTTACTTTATATCAATGATATAAGAAGCTGATCCCTGTCTTCTAATTATTATTTTAATACTCGTGATTTTGTGATAACACAAAGCACAGGATTGTACAGTATACTTCACCTGCCTTTACAGCATCAGTGGAGCTTTTCAAACGTTAAAACATTAAAATAATTTACAGATTATATATTAGAACTTGTCCAAACTGCGTGTTCATATCAATATGGCTCATAAATAAATAAAAAATGCTTTTATTGAACATGGTCATGGTGGTATTACTTTGATCACTTACCTGATACATTTAGATAGATTTTATTGCTTATTTTTGTTGATCCCCTGTGCAGAAAAAAGCATTGATATTCACCACTGTAGCCTGAAGCTGAGGGTAATTTATAGCTCTCATATTTTTGGTACGAGAGAAATGCTTGACCATCCCTTTGGATTGAGTAAAACCAGTCGTTTTCTTTGCCTCCTGTAATGTCACACTTGAAGGTAACAGACTCCCAGGGGGAAAAAGTGGTCAAGTTTGGCTCAATGGTCAGCACAGCATCTAGAAACATATCACAAGATAGATCAAGTAAAATGTGTCTTCTTTTTGTCAAAACATCTATAATACATTGACAAAACGGAACAAACAAAAAAGAGGATGTTGTTTGGAGAGTTACATAGGTAGATTTTACTTTAGTTAATATTCAAAAAGAAAGAAAATTGTATAAGCACCTTGAGCTTGTCCACGGTAAAGTAAATTCAGCACTGAAACAAGTATGAAACTACATCAGACATTATCAAACTGACAGAAATCAAACGTATCATAACATCAGGCATTTATAAAGTTGTAGCAATGGCAATTAAAACATGAAAAGTACTCACAGAAAAACCCCAGTAGAGAGAGCAAAGTGTGTCCCATCTTCACATCCAACACTGATAATCTGTTCCTCTGTTTGTGAGAAATTATCCTACTTTGTGTAAATAGAAAGATTGAAACTGCAGCATATGAAGAGAAATCAGGAACTACAGAGAAACAAATGCAATGTAATATTGGACACGGAAGTTGATTTCTAACAGTCTGCGCTTCCTTCCCTTTTACACAAAGCTCACACAACTGAACAGATTTTAACACAGCAAATGTTTTTGCACCTTGGTTGAGGTATCCTGTAATGATGAAGAGGGATAAGGTATTACAGTTTTAAGAAGGAGATACAATTGCAGGTGTCATACTCACTTTATAATTCATGGGCCTTCTCACCAATATTTCATATGAAAATGTGTGTAACAGCTTTAACCAAATAGTTGAAATGCAGTGTTGGAGTGTTATGGAGGAATTGAAGTTTACGTTTAGAAACAACCTCACCCACAGGAAGTCTCTCATAGTCTCTTTACCAGAAGTGAATGTGAAGAGAGACAAAGTCCTGCCCCCTCCTCGAAATAGACTCTACCTACTTTAAGGGGGCATAATTCCATATCTATATCATTAGTAATGAATAAATCATTTGAATACAGAACATATTTTTGGTCTAGGTGCAACATTGTATCACAACAGTTGTACATAGATGACTTAATGCCATAATAATGATCAAAATAAATAAATAACACAACACTTGAGTAGTTGTTAAGTTTTAAATGTGGTGGGTAGTCAAAATTAAAAGCTTCCACTTCCATGCATCAGTGCAAAGCTAAGGAAGTGAACCGTAAGCATTCAATTGTTTAGTTATTAGTTAGGAGTTACATTTACATGACATCAGACCCTGCTGCCAGACTTCAGAAGGACTATTTGTGTAGAGTAGGTAAAGTATCAGATAAAGTAGTTTGACACCACCTTGTGGTCATATATCGAAAGAAAGCTTCTAATATAACTGCTCAGTGACTGGAGAACAAATAAAATAGAATATTCTCAGTAAAACATACTTACAAAAATTGGACAAACTAATGTTGGCTGTAGTGCGTCAGTAGATTCCCTTCTTCTATCTCTCTACATAGAGAATACTGTATGTTTATCCATGGACAATGTAGGAACAAAGTACCATATATTCACATTTTGAGATCATACAAGATAATAAAGTGTTGGCACTAGCAGAAAACCTATTATATTTTAAGTGCATTAAGGGTTTTGATTACCATTTTTGGATTTTATTGCCAATAATAATTTGGAAAAATATCAAATGTTCTGCCTTGTTTTCCTCCTGGACAGGCTTTACTGCCTTGATTGAATTGAAAGTATGTAATAAAGATAATACTTGTGGGTTGTTGTTTCTCTATAGGTAACAAGCGTATGAGAAATTCCATCATGTTTTGAGTTATTTTGGTTAATCTGCTTAACACAATACAGAACATTTGTATTATTAAAGATGATATAATAAGATAATCAAAGTTATGTTTATTAATACAAAACAAAAAACGGGCCCCAAAAATCTGAAAGAAAACAAATACAGTGTACAGAAGGTGTGTGCTTCAGTTCCCTTGAATCTGAACATCTTGTTTGACCTATTGGTGGCGCTGTGACTTCAGATGTTTTGGCTTTTGCAAGAGACTACTTCTGCAGATAAATTAAAGGCATTAAATAATTTGTTGGCACCCTGTGGTAGCATCTAGTAAGAATCATTCACTGAACAGTACATGCAGGTGTAATTGCATTTTGGTTTTATTCATAATATATTTGTGTGTCCACTGTGTGCATCTACAGTGCTAAAGCATGTGTCCATACTGCATATATTAGTATCTGGCTCTAATATCACCAAATGTACAACAAGGTTAGAGCCACATGATCTGAATCAGACATGTAACAGATAATGTTGTAGTTCAATGTTTTATACTAAATATAAGTACACAGAAATACAGTTAAGTACAGTTGAATTGCAAAGCATTCAGCATGTTCCTAGAAAGGCCTTTATTAAAAAAGGCTAAGCGCTATTTACACAAAAGCAGCAAATACACTCAATTGCTGAAACAAGGATGTTGCTTTTCATGTTTTTATCCGCTCCATTGGTTCTGTCCATGAGGATGTCTTTATTGATCTGGAAGAAAACCAAAATGAGTTATTATCATTGGGTACTTTCTGCTCATGGAACTGTTTTTGAATACAACAATGTATGTTCATGCCAACTAATTTGTGTCTGAAAATATTTAAATTTGCCATTTATTAGTTACGATGTTTTAAGTAATGTTTCATTAAACCAAAACATGTCTGGAAAACAACAGGCTGTATATAAAAAGGCATTAAAATGCACAAAAAGTTTAAAAGCTTTATTTGGTGGATTTGCTCATTGCTGAAACTGGCAAGCACATTATAAAAGCTTTTAGTATATTCATATGTATATGTATTAAAGTGTTTTGTACTTGACTTTACCTGCAGCGTTTATGTAAAGGCTCTCTTCTGGTTCATTACTGGCACCTGCTAGAAGGATTCAAATAATGTATTAAAGGACAATTCCTGTACTTTATTTAGACACTGCTGGCCTACAAAAGCATATCAACCACTGCATGTAGTATTTGTATTACTCCATGTTAAACACAAATTAAATACTGTACCATTTTCCGCTTCTACAGGCCCTCCGATTGTTTCATAGAGACAACGATCACCTACAGAGAAGTGAAAATCAACCACGGTTACACCAATCATTTTAATCACAATTAAGGCTGAGAGTTAAAAATAAATCATATTATTAAACCGGAGAAGGGCTGACCATGGAGGAGAGTAGAATATTCTGGCATGTTTTGAATTTCATCCTGGTTGATCATGTGGCCTGTAGCAGGGCCCTGATTGGTGCTCTGAGATCTTGTGGGCCAGACACATGTAGTAAATGAAGTGGATGTATTAAGGAACATATTACTGCTGTCCTGTACTGTTAAAACAGTATGTGTGATTACATTAGAGTCAATCTTATATCAGAAGAAAATTAAATTACCTTTTAATTTTCTGTAGCGATACAGGAAGAGCAGCAGGAGAATAATCAGTAAAACTCCACAAAGCAGCCCAACGATCAACAGGACGGGAAATTGAGAGTCTTTTCCATGCCCGGACGCTGCTATTATGAGTAATCTTTGTTAATCTTTATTTTATATTAAACGTTCCTGTTATAGATTAACTGTATAAAACATTTATCCTACACAAACACAGTTTAATTCAGATGAAACTAAGCTTTCTTTATCTCAGACTGTAACACACACTCAAAAAACTGACTTTTTGGTGTAGTAAAATATATTTAATTAACTGTCGTACTTTTTACATGGTAATATCAAGATTCACAAAGAACTAGAATTTCTTAAGTAACATTTTAAATGTATACACCTTTTATTCATGTAATACATTTACAGTGTGGGAGGAGTACGTTTTATTATATATTTACTCATACTATTTAAATGATTTATAGTCACTGCTCATAAACCTTAAAATACTAAGTAAATGTTAATCTAAAACCATAGTAGCTGTTTGAATCCGCGCATGCGTCTTGACAAGACAAGATACCCGCGTTTTTGGACGACGGTGCAGTTGGGTTTGCAGTTGCACATTTGAAGGCTGTTGGAGGAGCTGCATGGCTGGAAAAAGAAGTGTTGGTAAGTTATTGTCTCTCTGTTTAAGACTTATATGTGTCTTTGTGCATAATAGCCTGATTCTTGTTTGCTTGAACCATGTTAACGTTTCTGTGCATTAGTTCACAAAGTTGAGAGATTATGTTTTAGATATGTTACGTGCTGTTAGCTAGCTAACCGCAGGGTTGCCAACTCTCACGCATCTGGCGTGTGACACACGCTTTCACTCTCAATCTCACGCTCTCACGCTGCCCAAACTATTCTCACGCCAAAAACAAGAATACGAAGACTAGAAACGGTTTTGAAAACTTTTGTCACGTAGTGATCGTCTTCTCAATAGAACATTGTAGTGCCGAGAGAAGGGAGACGGAGGCGGTGCATCGGAGGTGCAAATCTGGCTTTATTGAGGAGCAGAAATACACATGCTGTCGGGTCGAGCCGAGAAGAGTAAGAGAAAGTGAAAGGGACACACACACTGTAGGTACCGTCAACATATATGTCCGGGCGGAAACAATACCCCCAACCTGTAGTTCCATGCGTGAATTATGTACCCTAGTTAAATAGTGGTCACTACACAAGCCCCCCCAGAATTCAACCATGGACACAATCCTCGCGTCCGGGAGGAAGCACCACAGGGGCCGAGGAGGGCGGGCCATGGAACGGGCCGTCGTCAGGGGGCCGCAGGAGAGGGTCGCGTCGTGGGGACAGGCGTGAAACACCCGGAGGTCCCCAGCAGGGAGGAGCGCTGCCCGGCCGCAGGTGAAGGCACAGCGGCGGCGGGCACGAAGTCCTCGGGAGGAAGGAGCCGTGTCCCCGGGAGGAGGGAGACGTGGACAGGGGAGAGGCCAGACGGGGCGCCGTCGAGGCGAACCGTGAGCCGCGGTCAGAGGAGAGGCCAGGCAGGGTCCCGAAGCGCGCCACCCGCGGGCCGATGAAGGCACGGGTGACGTTCGAAACCGCCGAGGCGAGGGAAGAGGCGAGACGGGGTCCAGAAGCGCGTCACCCACGGGCCGAAGCAGCCGCGTGTGACGTCCGAAACCGCCGTCGAGGTGGTGATAACAGCGAGAGGGTCCACACGAGGCCGACCAGACATGGTCGAACCTCCTCTCAGGCACCAGAAAAAGCTCAAAAATGGTCGTCCCGTCCACGAACAAAAACAGGTGGGCGAAATAGCGAGAGGATCCACGCGAGGCCGACCAGACTTGATTGAACCTCCTCTCCGGCACCACAAAAAAACAAAAATAAAAATAAAAAAACAGTCGGATGTCAGCCGCTAGCTACTGTGGCTAGCCGTTGTTAGCTGTTGCCAGCTGCTAGCCGTTAGCAGTTGTGGCTAGCTGATCTCGACGGCCGTTAGTCGCAGGCCGGACATGCAGCCGCATGTCCCGAACCAACCCGGCACGGTCGCGTACCGGCCCCATGGAAGGCTTGCCGTCCCCCAGAGCCGAAAAGCCGTGGAAACGGCGAGCGTCGTCCGCGTCCAT